GGTCATCTTCACGTCCCTGCTGCTGTACCCCCGGTACTCATTAGATAGGAGGCTGGGTGGTCCCCAGAGCCAGTCTGGGCGACGTGGAAAAAATTCCTGACCCTACTGGGACTCGCACTCCGACCCCTCAATCATCCAGCCCGTGGCCAGTCGCTATACCTTCTTTTACTTCCATCAATTTTCTGAAAAGTAAAAAAAGGTAAAGCTATCCCTGTAACAGGCCGTGAAGGCCCATAGGGTTGTGAGACGTTGAGGGTCTCCCACATTATCTAGACAATCGGCTCAAAGATGGCGGTAAGGATGTCAGCCTTACGCTCCGGCCACGCTTTACCCCAGGAAGATTCCTGGTACTCATTTCTGTTAGAGGCTGCGTCGACCCCAGGGCTACAACAGAATCCGAAAGAAACAATCACGAACCAGCTCCTTCCACGTTCCATCTTCTTGAGTTATTTCACTGAGATTCACTTTGGTATTGTCTTTTCTCAGTCTTCTAATTGGCTGGTTTCCATCAGGCTTCTTCACCAGCGACCTATATTTACTAAATTTCTTCACCGTCCGTGAAATATATGCATATATTTATTGTAGCCAATAATGGTCCAAGCATCTGCCCAGTATGAAATGCAAACTTTTGAAGTACCCACTTCTCGGAAATCACAGCTACAAGAACTGCAAGTTGTGTAAGCTCCGATATAAACTAAAGAATTAAAAGTTCGTGCCGTTTCTAATGTCACCTGTATCATTACAAAGAGTCCGTCCAATTCCCAAGACTTAGTGGAAGAACCTTTCATGATGAGTGGCTGATAGCCTTACGTCGATCCCACAAAGTTTGAAGCGGCCCCCTTCTCAGCTGCCCGCGATTCTTAACGAATAAACCATATTCGCAGCTACCCCCCATACCCGGAAGTTATCTGTTACACCCACAATCTGAGAACGCATTGTACCGTAGTGACAAGAGCCCTCCTTAACATGGGCTGCTCTCCACAAGCGCTGTCGATTCAGTAACGTGCCCAAGTTGCAGAATGATCAAATCATTCTACTTAATGCTGTGGAATGTTAAGTTTTCATTGTAGGTGGGTAGAAATATGTCAGTAAGATAATATTCTAATATTATCTAGGGTAAAATACAAGTAAAATTGTCCCTGTGCTTAACTAATCAAACACTACACCATGAAGACGTTTGGGGAAATGGATGTATAGATCCAATTATTCTTGATCTAGGCAATATTTCGAGGTGAGTGGTCAGCTGCACACCCCTGGGAATTATCTCCCGGTACCCATTGGATGGGAGGCGGTGTGGGCTTCAGAAATGGCCTGGACGAAGTGGAGAAGACAAAAATCATGCCATACCAGGACTCGAACACCGACCCCTCGGCCGTCCATCCCGTTCCTAGTCGCTGTACCGAATTCGCTATCTCGTCTCTTCTTTAGGACCATGTACGTAAGAATGTAGGTTGAGCTCAGTGACAGCCCTTATCCAGTCACCCAGATGTCATGAGTTCAGACTAACAGGAGGCAGAGTGACTATTACGTATTCTCGTTAAATACTACTAGTTCAGCGAGCAGAGGAATATCCTACACGAAATAAGAAAACGGAAGGCTAATTGGATTGGTCATATCTTACGCCGTAACTGCCTTCTAAAAGAAGTTATTGAAGGAAAGATAGAGGCGCGGATAGAAGTGACCAGAAGACGAGGAAGAAGACGTAAGAAGATGCTGGATGACCTTGGGGACAGAAGAGGATATTTTCGTTTGAAGGAGAAAGCTCTAGATCGCATCAAGTGGAGGAACTCTTTTGGAAGAGACTGTGGACCTGTCGTCTTGACAGATTACAGATGAATGAATGAGGCTGATAAAGAGCCTACCACAAATACGTCAGTCATGACTCTGTTCTGAGGGTGTATTGGAACCGAGTTCTAAGGGAGAACCTCTGGACATAAGAGAGAGAAAGTAAAAGAAGGATAGAGAATATATTGCATATTGAAGGTTTATAATTCGTACTCTTCATAGAATGTTATTACGAATAATAACTCAAGAAAGATAATATGGGCTGGTTATTTAGCCCGCGTGGAAAGAAACTGAATGTTATACTTACAAAAGTTATAGTAGGAAAAACTGAGGGGAAGAAGACAATTGATAGACCTAGATATAAATTGAGAGGATCATAAGGAAATACGTAATATTCTTCCTTAACGACAATTCGTAACCTGCAGATATTTATTGGGTTAAATTGTAGAATGTCTGTAAACGAATAATTAGAAATACCATGAAATAGCCTGCCGGGTACATAATTTAAGGCGATGTAGCAATATTTGACTTAAAGGATCGAGGAAAACCACGAGAAATCAGTTAGGTTAGCTGCCCTGCTTCGAAACCAGAACCTCCCGAATACAAGGTAGGAGTACTAACTATAGAACGGCGACTTCCTCTGTTCGGATAGAATAAATTGGTTTAAACTGGCTTGTGATGAGAATTGTTATATCGATAACTCACTAACTTGAACGAGATTTGAGGTTTTTGCAGCGGAGGGATATGACTGTGGTCTTTGGGTTAAGACCCTGTATAGTCTGGTAGGTGCTTACCAGCAGCTTTCTCCATCTTTAGCTTCACCTCAATTTGCATCCCTGAAAATGAACACAGCAGGTTACTTCGAAAACTTGATATTTACCTTCTATGTTGTTTTGTATCAGAACGCCATGATAGACGTACTTAGGCATTCTTACTGACTCAGTAGTTAGGTTTACTCAGTAGTCAAGAGATAATTTGAAAAAGGGAATATGTTCAGTGGCTGGAGTTCAGACACGGTCGCTTTTCTCCTGGTTGAATTAGAAGTTGCCCACGTACTAACACTCATTTTTACTGAGGAATAAATGAAGATAACGAATGAAAGAAGAGTAGAGATAGAAAGAAACAGAGAATTAAATAAGAATTAAACGAAAGAAAGTGTAACAGAGGGAAAGAATGAGAGAAATAAAGAAAACCAAGAAATTGATGGAAGAGAGGAGAAAAATTACATTCTTTTAATACTAAGTTTTTGTTCTTTGCACATCGTCTGATATAAAAAAACACAACGATTCGAAAACGTGATCTGTTTCCTTCCTCAGGTGGGGAGGTGGGGTGGGGGTGGGAGACATGTACTCTGATAGGTGCATCAGAAAGAGCTGACCTCAATCATTGGACCTGTACAATTTACAAGAAATTATCAAGATTTTTTTTTACAGAAGTTCACTATCGATAAAGTTCAAAATAATGAGACATTTTGAAATGGTGACCTTGTGAACAGTGTCAGTGAAATCGTAGGAAAGTAGGCTATTATGTATTTATTATGTAGGTTATTTAACGACGCGCTCAGTATGGAGAACATGTAGCGTCGAATTATCGATTTTACTTTATTACCGTTTGCTTAATGTGGCATGACGTACTGGGCTACTGGGAATCATTCCAGAGCTCGAGGTTCTGTTACGCCCTTCTTGCTCTATTGGGCAAAGAACTCTGTAAGCTGACTGGGTATGGGAAGCCCGGCTATCTTTTGATTTCTGTTAGGAGCACGAATTTTCCTTCCTCAGCCAGAACAGATGGTAGCGTATTTCGTTGAGGCACTATGCTACAAGCAGGAAAGTCGTGGGTTCGTTTCACGATGAGGTCATTGGATTTTTCAATTATCTTAATCCTTCCAGACGAACTATGGTCCTGGGGTCGACTCAGCCTCTAACAGAAATGAGTATCAGGAATCTTCCTGGGGTTCTAGGACGGCCGGCGCGTAAGGCTGACAACCTCACCACCATCTGTAAGCCGATTGTCTAGAAAATGTGGGATCCTCGACGTCTCACAGCCCATGAGCCTCCACGGCCTGTTAAAGTTAGCTCTTTACCCAGACCAGAAAGAATGTGGACTTGGCAATTCCTCCAGTACATGAACTCATTATTTAAAATAAGGGGTAGCTCAGTCGGTATAGCGACTCGCTATGAGCTGGACGACCAAAGGGTCGGGATTCGAGTTCCGATGGGAGCAAGTATTTTAATTTCTCCACGTTGTTCAGACTGGCTCTCTGGCCTAACCAGCCTCCTATCCAATGGGTACCGAGGGCTCCTTCCCCGGGGGTAAAGCAGCCGGGGCGTGAAGCTGACGACTTACCTCCAACTATAGCCGAGGTCAAGAAAACATGGGTCTAGACATTTACTCCCCTATAAGCCTTCATGGCCTAGTGCTTAATAAGTAAAGCACAGGGACAACTATTCTCTTCTGGATGCCATCTGTATTTGTAGTGCCCAGAACATTAGAGAAATATCGCAGAAGCCAAACGCCTGTTTGCAGAAATAAAAAAAAAATCCTTGGCAAACTTTAGAATCGAACTCTAAATCTCTCAAATGCGAAGCACTCGTGGCAACCGCTTCACCACAATTCTCTACAGGCAGTAATAAATAATCCTTTGAGCGATGCACTAAGACACTGTACATTGTAAGTGCAGAAACGAACATTTCACAAAGAGAATGGCTTGATTAAATAAAGCCAACTAAATGCTTTGCAACGTACGTACGTGGTAGCTTGCTAACAGCTTTGAAAACATCGGTGTCGTAATGGGTAGTAAACTAAAATTTGGAACAGATATATTGCGACTTCCGCAAATGATGTTTAATGTAATGACTTATTTTTGTATTAATACCATCCCACTCCATTTGTTGCCAGGATTTGACACCTCCCTCATCACAAATGTGGACACACCTCCCAGTAACTCCCGCCCCCTTGGACCGCCTACACTGCCCGTTCGTACCGGCTACGCGCAGATGTATCCTCGCGAGCGTGCGCTCTTGGCTTGCCACATATTTTCCACAGTTAAATCGTTTGCGCTTGTAGAGATTTTGGTTGCAAGAGGCTTTCGGTTGGCTCTGAGGGGTGGAAAAGGGTTGGCTAAACGCTTAACGTTATTCTGCTCTCGAGCCGAAAGCAGCCTTCCTCTTTTTATTATTTGGGAGAATAAAAAAGAAAGAGAGCTCTTTGCCTACAACTGCGCATTACGTTATATACCCTGCTCTAGAGAGACAAGAATTCAGTCCGAGAGAGGCACTCGTAGAGTAAAGGAGGTAGTTCTCGCGCTTGCCGCTACTGGCGTTCATGTCAATGGTTTACAGCGCTGTTTGGTATCGTGTTTGTCATTGCGAGTGATGATGATTATTGTGTAATTGTTATTCTTTTGTTTGTTGTTTTGTGTTTATTCTCGTGTTGTCGCCTCTTCGTTTGTAGGAAGTTTCAAGATTTAGGAAACTATTTCTTTAATATTTTAGTAATAACACATTATACAGCATGGACTTTCAAAGCGCCATGGAAACTTTTGCGGAAGCATGGGTTGCTGCCAATACCAAAGGAGGAAGTTTAAGTGAGGTAGGATGTTCGCAGGTAAGCCATATTTTACTTACATGCAGTTTGAACGATTCAGCATCGTTGTAGAGACGTTTGTTTGCATCTGATTTTGCTGGGTCTATTTATTCTCCAGATTAAAGCATTTAATAATGTCATCAAGAAAGAGGTTTGATTAAAATATTTAATGACTAGGCCTATATTCAGGGTCGTATTTAAAGCAGCATTTTAGGAGTTAAAGTCATAATGCTAGGTAGTAAATAAGTTGATTATATTTACATACAAAAATAACAAACACATATGACGTGATGAAATTACGAGAATACTAAAGCCAGGATATGCTTATGACAGTTCAACTGAGATATTATTATCCCACCTACTTTACAAATCACTAAAGAAGCAATAAATTTTAGCACTTGTTTTTCCCATGGTTGCAGAATACAAGAAATGGGAAAATAATATAGGTTGTAAGTGTTGGAATACGAAATGCTCAGACTGAAAAAAAAACAGCGTAAGTGCACATAACGAAATAATACTATTGTTGATTTAAGTGCATAATATTGGTGGTGAAATGTGGCTTCATTGGCTGGACATGTAGAGCTAATTTGAGAAAAGGAATTGGCTCATGTAAAGAGTTTTATAGAGATGTGTTTTGAAAGGGAGGCACTCGGAGGACCGAGTAAGGGATATATTAGTAGAATGGGATTTGAGGATGGAAGGTGAATGAACTGGCCCATGATTACGATAGATTACGTATTTTTAATTTTCGTGTTATGCAAGGGGTGATAATTATCACTCGCAGAAATTGAACATAGTTTCTTGAATGAATGAACCCTGAAGAAATCTTCCCTGATAAATATCAACATAAAAATACGCCTACAGATATTTATGAAATGATGTACGTGAATCATGATGATACTGATGACTGATACTAATTATTATGGCTCTACGGCCCTTTGTTGAGCCTTGGCCGCTTTTTCCTGTTTGTTAATCCTATACACAGTCGGTAGGACTCCTTGGACGGGGTATCAACCCGTTGCAAGGCCGCTGCCTACACACAGAACAACACAAACATCCATGTCCTGAGTGCGATTCGAACCCACGGTCCCAGCGTTCGAGCGAGTGAAGACAGTTTACGGCTTAGACCGCGCGGCCACTGTGATCAGCGTCTGATAATTATAGCGTATAATGTACGTTTATCAGGATTTTACATAAGTTTACATCGATATAATTTTGTATTTAGGATGAATTGTTGTGATCTGAAAAATAATGATTTTTTTTAAATTTACTCTTAATATTACATTTGATGTAGGTTAATATTCTGAATGCTTAAATTGGACAGAACGGATGATGATGTGGTTATGTATCGCGAACAGAACGATTTGTTGGTCAAATGGGTAATTGTCAGGTTGTCCCTGCATGTAGGTTCAGTTATTAAACGGTTTTGTGAGGAATCTGAAGCTATTATTCTAGACCCAAGACGTGTCTTATTATGCTAAAGACTTTTAAATACCCCGAAAGAAATAGAGTTCATGTATTATCGTTCTGTTTTTAAAACTCTTAGAGATGAGCACATGACGACGGGTAACCGCAAGTAATGTGTCTCCGGAAAATTCGTATCAAAGTAAGCGCATCTTAAACACGAACTAAATTCATACATTGAAGAAAGTCGTCTTCTGGGTTTTGGTGCCGTGTATTCTTCGTTTTGGCTGACGTTTCGGAGGAACGTATCGCCTCCATCTTCAGAGCAGGTGAATGGCTGTGAATGCAGAGAGCAGTAGCAGTAGCTGCAGTAGCTACAGTAGCTCTGAAGATGGAGGTGATACGTTCCTCCGAAACGTCAGCCAAAACGAAGAATACACGGCGCCAAAACCCAGAAGACGACTTTCTTCGTAGTTATCGCCGTGAAAACCTCAAAACTTACAAATTCATACATTATTGAAGATTTATTATATGAGGTGTTAAAAAAATGTGTATATTTTGACTGACCACTGGCTGAACGACCAGTGACTTTTCTGTTAGCATCTTTGTGTCCAGACCTGTTCTGACGCCCACCAAGTCTTCTATCAAATGGGTATCTTTAAATATTTGACCAAGGATAAAGCAATCGGAACGTGAAGCTCGCCACTCACGTTAATGTAGTGTGTTCGTTAAGAATGCGTGAAGCCGTAATTACGCCGAGGTACTTCATTAAGCACGGGAGACATTTTCCTTTGCTTTTGCCTTGTAGTTCACCGTATCCCGGTTACAGTTGCCGCTTGGTCTAAGGCATGAACTGTTTTCCCTCGCTCAAACGCTGGGATCGTGGTTTCGAATCCCACTTCAGGCATGGATGTCTGTGTGCGTTTATTCTGTGTTTGTGTTGCTCTGTGTGTAGGCAGCGGCCTTGCGACGGGCTGATCCCCCGTCCAAGGAGTCCTACTGACTGCGTAAAAAGATCAAGAAACTGAAATAGTGGCCAAGGTTCAACAAAGGGCTGTAGGGCCGTGTAGGTTCACATGTTATGCTGCATATTTCATACTGAGGAGCTTGAACACTGTGTTTCCAAGTTCACATTTCCCTCGGGATTCGTATATTTGTTTTCGCTTTTATGAATTGTCCTATATAGATAAGAGACGTTGATTTGGGTTTATCGCCACCAAAGGACCGAAATACTGAACCCTCAACAGTTTCAGTGCATAGAACCTTCCAGACCGTTCAACGAAAATGTTGAATGGAATCGACTGTGAAAACTGTTACAGTATATTTCAGGGGTGGGAAACCTATTCATTGTCTGGCGCCAGAATTAGGCAGCAACAAATTGAAAGCCATCCGCCAATCTGCATTATTCTACTGAGCTTAATGAGACAAGGTTTGCGTCTGTCCATCTATCTATGGCTTTACAGCCCTTTGTTGGACCTCGGCAGCTTTTTCAGTTTTTTAACCCTATAGCAGTCGGTAGAACCCCTTGTACGGGGGGTGAGCCCGTCGCAAGGCTGCTACCTACACACAGGACCACACAATACAAACATCCGTGCCTTGAGTGGGATTCGAACCCACGATCCCAGTTTTCGAACGAGCGAAAACAGTGCATGCCTTAGACCGCTCGGCTACCGTGACCGGCGTTATGAGTACTTAGGCTAATAAATATAGACCGAGACTTTCATAGAGGAAGCTGTCTTAAGACAAGGGCCACGCCATAGCTCAAGCGGTTAGTCTCTGGCTTCCCACCGCGGCGGCCCGGGTTCGATCCCGAGTTTGGTCAAGTGGAATTTGTGGTGGACAAAGTGGCGCTGGGGCAGGTTTTCTCCCAGTACTTCGGTTTCCCCTGCCAATCTTCATTCCACCAATTGCTCCACAATCACCCTCACCTATCATCTGGGGCTGGTACAGTAGGCCAGAAGTGACCGCAGTACAAGGGACTTAGTCCCACTCCACTAGCAATATAAAAAAAAGCAATATACAAGATAATATACCTTAAGACATGTGGAGTGGAATTATATTCATGTCGGTCCAATATTATGTAGGAATCTATAAATTCTCCAAAAGGCACGACTCACGTTATTAAATATTTGCATACAATATAAAACGCAGACCTCTTTATAGGGTACCCCTTTTGTTGGAAAAGTTTTTCGAAGTAGAAAGTAAGTAATGGAATGTGAAAGAAAATAATTTATAACCGTCCGGTGTAGCAGGTCTCTCTTCGTGTGATTGTCATAGCAACAACGAAGGTCAATGAAATACGTGAAGTTTGCATAGGAGATATAAAATATTTGTAGTTCACTGAAAGACAAATTCTCTGCCTTCATAAGCGATGCTCCCCGGCTGAATTGTACTGGGCTGTGTTTAGACACTGAACCCTTCATACCCCATTTCACATCTGGAAACATTTGGATTAAGGCTACAAGTTCCTTTTTGACAAAATTTAATTACTCGTATATGTGACAGAATTGAGGATAGAGGTATTAACAGGCCTGCTTTTTTTTTATTGCTAGTGGGGTGGGACTAAGTCCCTTGTACTGCGGCCACTTCTGGCCTATTGTACCAGCCCCAGATGATAGGTGAGGGTGATTGTGGAGCAATTGGTGGTATGAAGATTGGCAGGGGAAACCGAAGTACTCGGAGAAAACCTGCCTCAGCGCCACTTTGTCCACCACAAATCCCACTTGACCAGACCCGGGATCGAACCCGGGCGGCCGCGGTGGAAAGCCAGCGATTAACCGCTGGAGCTATGGCCCGGCCATTGCAGGTCTGCTTACTGACATTTTCTTTTTATTAATATTTTCTTAGTCCCTCCAAATAATTCTGTGATTGAACTGGAGCTACACCGTGGTTGCTTTCATCATTATCCATCATCCTAGTCTTCGACGCAACATAACTCACGCAGTCCGGAAAACAATCGTTAAACAATAATAAATTAACAGAGGTTGTTCTAGAAGTAAACACAGAGAAAATCAAGTACATTTTGCTGTCTCGTCACCAAAATGCAGGGCAAAATCATGATATAAAGATAAGAAATACATGTTTTGAAAATGTGCACAGTTCAGATATTTGGGAACGACGATAACAAATCAAAACTTGATTCAGGAAGAAATTAAGAGGAAATTGAATTCAGGTAATGCTTGTTACCATTCAGTCCAGAACCTTTTGTCTTCTCGTCTGCTGTCTAAAAACATAAAAACTAGAATACACAAAACTACAACTTTGCCTGTGGTTCTGTATGGCTGCGAAAGTTGGTCTCTGACATTAAGTGAGGAACATAGACTGAGGGTATTTCAGAACAGGGTGCTGAGGAGAATATTTGGACCGAGTGATGGAGTAATAGGAGGTTGGAGATGACTGCATTAATGAGGAGCTTCATAATTTCTACCTTTCTTCACGTACAATTAGAATGATCAAGTCAAAGAGGATGGGATGGTGGAAGAGGAACGCATATAGGGTATTGGTGAGAAAGCCAGAAGGAAAGGGACCACTAGGAAGATCAAGACGTAAGTGGATGGACAAAATTAGGATGGATCTTCGAGAGATAAGATGGGATGATATGGATTGAATTTATCTGG